AATAATAGTAATAATAAAAATAATAATAATAATAATAATAATAATAATAACAATAATAATAATAATAATGATAATAACAATGATAATAATAATGATAATAATCATAATAACAATAGTGGTGGTAATAGGAGCGATGAAAATAATAACGATTGTAATTATCCTCTTATCGGCAAAAGTGATAATACTGATGATGATAGATATCACATTAATGATAATGAATACATAATAATGATGATCGAAAAACAATAATCATTATTAATAAAAAAAGCTATGTAATTAATCATTATTTCTAATATAACAATAATCAATCATACGTTACGCTTATGTAATTAATCTTATCATTTGTTCAAAACACATTAAGAAGAGTACGTGATTTCTTGATTCAAATTTAATTATTTGCTCTGATTAATTTGTTATGCAAAAAACGAAAATTTTTAATTAAAACGAAAATTCGAAAATTTTTTTCCCAAATTTTCAACATAAATCAATTGAATTTATTTGCAGTATAAAATAATTTAATTTCTAATATATAAAAAATTTTAGTTCATTTTATTTTTTTTCACTAAAAAAAAAAAGAAAATAGAATAAAAAAGAAAATTTTGTTTTCTTATTTTGACAAATGGAATATATGGGAATAGATTGATTTGATTCAAAATTCATTTTTCTTCTCCTTTCTTTTTTTTTTCGCTGTGTAAAAGAAACTGAAATTATTTCAAAATTTAAATATTTGAATGATCCGGTTTTTCTTCCGACTAATTTTATTTGTGTAAACTAGTTTTTAGATCAGATTTTGGCGACTATATCTATTTCTTTCAAAAATTTTACCTCCAATCATCATTCATGTCATCTGCTGCTACAACTCTTTTGTCCTAAACTTTTAATTATCACATTTAAAGCATCGCAAGTATTATAATGAAATTGAAAGTAGTTATACCATTCATTCATCTATTTAGTCGACTTCTAATTAATATGGCATTGAAAAATTAATTACACTTCTCAGATGAATGAAAATTATAAAATAAGGATAATTACATTATCAAAGTAATAATTATTTTTTGGAAAAAATGTGGACGATGAAAGAATGGAATAAATATATTAATTAAAAATATCAAATTTTAAAAAGTTTGAAATTTAACAATCATCCCATGAAGAAATGCAATAAATTTGAAATACAAAATTTTAATTATTCTTTTTATTTAAACAAAACTTTTTTTTTTTTTTTTTTAAAGCACAGCAACGATTAATTGTAATATCAATGAGATAAGATGTCAGTGTTAAGAATAATCAATGATATGATATAAATATTATGATGAAAATCAGTGAAATATAATTTCAACAAAAGTTTTTTATTTGAAACACAATGAAGAGAGTAAAGATTAAATTGATTAAATCAATGGTTCACATAGTGTTAATTTATAAGCAAAGTGAAATATGAATAAAATCTTAAATCGTGGTAAATTTGTTAAATTCTGTTATCATTTTACAAAGGCATTGTCATTCATTTTTTCTAAAGGTAAAATGATAAGATGATAATATGGATCTGATGATAGCATTACAAGATATCTAATGATAACATGACATGATAAGCAAATATGATGGCAGCATAACAAAATGGATAAGCATGATAATAATTGCAAGTAAAAAAATGAAAAAATTTTAGTGATAAGAAATATTAAGCAAGAAAGGATTAGTGATAAGATAATGGGACAAAGAGGTTTAATGATAATATAGCTAACAGTCGTTTGTTTTTTTTTTTTTTTTNTTTTTTTTGCCTACAAATAATCATCTAGCTCAGGTGATTATTTATAAAAGGATAATAGAATCATGCCTTTCTTTTTTTTCCAATTTACCAATTTTGTGATTTGAAAACAGAACGAATGAAATGACAATAATTATTTGATGATTTTCATTAAATTAATCATAGACAATAAAATTTTTGACTAAAAAA